TGTCTCTCCGTGTTAGTTATACTCAGTCTCTATACCCTTAGGTGTCAGATGAGAATAGACAGCTGGACTAGAATATCTCTTCAAGCCATGCCTTTGTAGAAATCTGGTGTTTCCCTATTAAAACTAAATGCATGAGATTCTGCTTCCACCTCAACTGCCACACACTCAAGCAGAGTGTGGAGAAAACTTAATTTAAAATGCCTGTTACAGCTTTTTCCCCTACATTGACAGCATCTGCTAACGTTTACCACCTCTTAAGCATTGGCAAATGATAAAACATCATCGTGGGCCACTGCTGACGTGTATTATCTCATTTAACCTTCACGAAACCCAGAAAATATAAGTATCATTGCTTCTATATTACAGACTAAAGTTTAAGGAGATTATATAACCTGGACAAGATCACAAAGTAAATGGTAAGGTCTGGCTTTGAACCTAAACCCTCTGGTTCCAAAGTCTCACCTCTTAAACGCTACTATACACTCTCTTCAAAGATTAATACACTAAAATGTTAATAACATAATTACTCTAAGTTTCACTTTTTGTGTGTGTGGATTTGTATTTCTGACCGATTGTAAGGCTTATGTGTAATGTAAGCATCTTTTTTTTGTTTAAACTAGAATTAGTCCGTTTTTATGAAGGCAACAACATGATTTCCACGAGCACAATCAACCAAACGGAGATAGAAACCCCTAACTCTCTGAGAGGCCTGAGTTAGTTTTCTAGCACTCTTTCTCACACGAGGGAAATGTGCGTGCGGCCAGTTCAAAATCTGCCGTAACCTGTGTCTATTAGGGACCTCTCGGGCGTGGTAAAACAATATTGCTTCTTCGCAGCTTGAAAGAAGGGAAATCAACGGATGACCACTACCGGAACGGAGTTCAGACTGCGATTCATGAGATCTCTCAGTCCTTTCCTTCAGTGAATTCTTCCGAGCCCTTTTCAGGTGCAGCTTTGAAGGTTAAAACGAGACACTGGGGTCAGTGGGTCCCTAAGAGGCACCAATACAGACACAGGTGTGCTTCCCTGCTCCGTGGTGCTAAGGACCAAGTTCTGAAGCGTCCTTAGAGACCAAGGGTCTACCCGTGGGGTTCACCAGGCCTCCTTTCCCAGGATCTACCCATGACTCAAGGAACTGGGGCAAGGCAGAAGTCGCTTTCCAGAAGCCTTCCGGTCACACCGGTACTGTATTCCACTCTTTCCCTCCGCGGCTTCCCGCACGCTCCCGGGAAAAAGAGCTTCCCTTCTCTTCCCTGGACACCCAAAGACCCCGAACCTCGGCTCCCAACAGGGAGCGGTCTCCGCGGCGGGGCCGCAGGCACTCACCGTCGTTTTCGTCGCTGTGCCGCCGCCGCGACATGCCGCCCTACGGTGCGCCGCGGAGCCCAGAGGCCAGGCGGTAAGCGCTGCAGGAACTGTCCGGCGCTGGCCGGCGCGAGGGCAGCTGCGAAGCGCGCGGATGCGCCGGCACGCAGGCGCAGTCGCTCGCCACGGCTCCCGGAAGCGCAGAAGAGGCTGCCGGGTGAGCTCAGAGCCGCGAGAGCCGGCGTGAAGAAGCTCAGTGGGCTATGGGCGTCGGGCTCGCACGCAACCGCCCCCTTCGGACTGCCTCCGCCTGCCGGCTGCTTCTTTCTCCCGCCTTCCGCTTTATGTCCTTCCGGGGCCACGGAGAAAGTGCCGCCGCTTCGACCAGTCAGAGCCCCCGGGCCGCGGTCGTCGTACGTCTGAAGCGAGTGGTGCGGGCGGCCGCTCTAGTCCCCGCCTCCGCTCAGGCCGGTCGTTTGGGGCTTCTCAATGGTTTTCCCGGCTGCCCTTGCGCCGACGTCCAGGAGACTTCCGGAGCTTGGTGACGTCACGAGCGAGCTTTTCTACCCAAACATGCGGCGGGGGCTGGGCTCGAGGGCAGTGAGCAGTGACAATTGCTAGGCGGAGATGGTGCAGGGAAAAGAGACCTAAGAAAGGATCAGGACTGGCGGGTATGTGCTCATCTACTCCCACTTTCCGTTTTTTGCCGCCTTGGGAAAAGTGGGCGGAGAGGTTGGGCTAAGCTCTGCACACGGGGTGGGGCCTGGGCGGGAGGCGGTGCCGCACGTGCCGCCCCCTGGGATGGAAAGGCCGGTCCTGACGCGAGCCTGCTGCTACCTGCTGCTCCTGGCTTGCCGGCTGGCCATCATTTTACCTAAGTGTTTGCTTAAGAAGGAACAAATGATTGCTTTAGTCATCTGTCTTCAAGGATTATTGGGTGTCTATATGCCTGTGTGTGAACATTCCTTCCTCTGATGTCTTTCTGAGCACCATACTGGCTTATCTAACTGCTTTGTCAATGGCCATCTGAAATTTCATTCTCCTGGCCTAATTCTCTCTCAGTCTTATTTCAGTAAATGACGTGATCGATCGGCTGCTTAATCCAAAAGTTTAGAGAGTCTTTCTTAGTTCTTCTCCCTCACTTTTTACATAATTATTTGTAAACCCTGCGTGCTCTGCTTTCAACACAAATCCAGAATCAGATCGTGTTACTGCTTTGTTTAAAAGACTCCTGTGAAGGCCGGGCGCGGTAGCTAACGCCTGTAATCCCAACATTTTGGAAGGCCGAGGCGGGCGGAACTCTTGAGCCCAGGAGTTCAAGACCCACCTGGGCAACTATGCGAACCCCGTCTTTACAAAGAAAAAAAAAAAAAATAGCCGGCCCTAGTGTTTAGCGTCTGTAGTCCCAGTTACTCAGGGGGAGAGTAGGGGGCCGAAGTGGGAGGATCCCTTGAACCCAAGAGGTCGAGAATGAAGTAAGTCGTGATTGCACCACTGTACTCAAGCCTGGGTGGCAAAGTGAGACCCTGTCTTATAAAAAAAAAAAAAAAAAGTGTCCTATGATTTTCCATTGCAAACTCCATACCATGGCCTGTGGGGTTCTACCTCTCCTAACCGTGCTCCAACCACTCTTTCTGTTCTTCCAATAAGTCAACTTGTTCTCATTTTAGGAACTTATACTATTTCTTTAACCTGAAGGTCTCTGGTTCTAAATCTGCGCCTGACTGGCTCTTGGTCACTTAGGTCTCAACTCAATTATCAGGTCCTTAGTGAGGGCTTCTTTGGTTACCCAATCACTGTTTTATTTCATTCAACGAATATTGTATTTATTAGCTTTTAGCACCTCCTAGGTGCCAGGCAGAGTTCTGAATGCTGAGGATGTAGAGGTGAACAAAGGAAAACCCCTGCTCTCTTGGCGCTGAAATTCTAATGACCCATTCAGGAATAGCCACAAATAGTGCCATCATAGGTAATGAGCAACGGGAGAGTAGTAGATAAGATCAGAGAGGTAGGGGGAAGGTGCTCTGTAAGGACTTTGGACATTATCCGAGTAAATTGAGAAGTCTTTGGACTATGTTTTTTTTTTTTTTTCGGAGACAGGGTCTCACCCTATTGCCCAGGCTGGAGTGTGCAGTGGCACAGTCTTGGCTTATTGTAACCTCTGCGTCCTGGGTTCAAACAATTCTCATGCCTCAGCCACCCAAGTAGCTGGAATTACAGACATGCACCACCACACCAGGCTAATTTGTGTATATTTAGTAGAAACAGGGTTTCACCATGTTGGCCAGGCTGATCTTGAACTCCTGGCCTCAAGTGACCCCACCCCCACCCCCCGGCCTCCCAAAGTGCTGGGATTACAGGCATAAGCCACTGTGCAGGGCCAATCTGACTTATTTTTTAATAGTTACCTCTCTGGCTCCCATAGGAGGAAGATATTTTGACTGTTACAATAATTCAAGCTACAAATGATGGTAGCTTGAACTAGGGTGGTAGTAAAGATGGTGTTGCAAAGTGATCTGATTGGATTGTGCTTCAAAAGCAAAGCTGGCCTGGCACAGTGGCTCACGCCTGCAATCCCAGCACTTCAAGAGGCCGGGGTGGGTGGATCACAAGGTTGCAAGATTGAGACCATTCTGGCCAACACAGTGAAACCCCATCTCGCCTAAAAAAATACAAAAATTAGCTGGGCATGGTGGCATGCACCTGTAGTCCCAGCTACTCAGGAACTGAGGCAGGCAGAAAAATCGCTTGAACCTGGGAGGTGGAGGTTGCAGTGAGCCAAGATCACGCCACGGCACTCTAGCCTGGGGACAGAATGAGACTCCTTCTCAAAGAAAAAAAAAGCAAAGCTGATAGAATTTTCTGAACAAGTAAATGATAGTGTGAGAAAATAAGGAGTAGGCAAATATTTATAGAAGTAGAGAAAATTATATGATGAATCCCCATGTACTCATCATCAACTTCAGTAATTCTTAACTCATGGGTAGTTTGGTTTCATCGATATTACCTCCTTTCTCCTAATTATTTTGAGGCAAATATAGTTTTAAGTCCTTGGAAGTAGATGAGATCACCTATGGGGTAAGTATAGATAGAGCTGGCACAGTGGCTCATGCCTGTGATCCCAGCAGTTTGGGAGGCTGAAGGGGGTGGGTCACTTGAGGCCAGGAGTTTGAGACCAGTGTAGCCAACATGGTGAAACCCTGTCTCTACTAAAAATACACAAATTAGCCTGGTGTGGTGGTGCATGTCTGTAATTCCAGCTTCTTGGGTGGCTGAGGCACAAGAATTACCTGAACCCAGGAGGCGAAGGTTACAGTGAGCCAAGACTGCCACTGTACTCCAGCCTAGGCAACAGAGCGAGATCCTGTCTCAAAAAAAAAAAAAAAAAAAAAAAAAAAGTCATACTCCATTTAGAGGTTGGGTGATGAGGAAGATCCAGCAAAGGAAACTGAGAAGCAGGGGCCCTTATCCCTAGCAGGTATTTTCGTGTTTTTTTTCTTACTTACTTACTTAATGTCTCTCTTTACCAGAATATAAGCTCCGAGAGTGCAGGGACGTCAACTGTTTCGTTTATAGCTGCATTCCCAGGACTATTCCACATGCCCGGCACATAGCAGAGGTGCTGAAAATAACAGTTCAGTGTACATAAATCAAAATACGGTGAGACTAAAAAAAGATGTCAAGCATGGGGAGATCATTTTGGGGTGGTGGAAAAGGTAACCCACACTCAGCTGTGGAGACCTTGAGTCAGGAAAGAACATGGCTCATTTGTGGAACTGGGCATGGTCCAGTGTGGCCAGAGTGGGAAATATGATGGGGAATGGGGAGCATAGTCAGAGATGAGCCTAGAGTATAGGGAAACTAAGTTTTTCAGGTCTTCAAAGGAAGCAGTGGCATGGGGGTAGCAGACAAGACATAAGTGAAAGGTGACACTTGAGCTCAGTCTTGATATACATAGTAAGCATATTGGGGGGGGGGAAAGAGGAGAGATGAAAAAGCAAGGGAAACAAAGCAGCTGAAAGCATAAATATTGGGACAGACCACTTTAACCATCAGGTCATATAGAGGGAGATTGGGAAAGATGCTGGAGGTGGGATCAGATTGGATAATAATTCCTTTTGACCATGTTACCTCCCAAATGCACTGCCCTTATAGGTAAATAAGTTCTCTGTTTCTAGAACAATGCCCAGAACCTAGAAGACCCTCCATAAATATTTGCTGAATGAATTTTAATTTGGAAATGATATACACACTTTTTCTACCTTTACAATAAAACAGCTTTGAGCATGGAGGAAGTGTGTTGAATGAGATTCTTCTACTTATTTGTCTTCTGCCTGGAAAGCCTACAGATTTGTGTAGAGACAGAAATGTACTCTTTTCAGTGGAACTTTATATGAAAGACATTTTCATGAGAAAGGAAAGAGATGCTAAAGAAGGTAGTATTTCTTCACCCAATCTCTTTCACTTTCAAATACAAGTAGAATTTGGGTTTAATAAATCTGTATTACCTTGCCTTACCCCTATAACAAACCTCATTTTGAGTTCCATGAAAGCACCACTTAGCTGATTCAAATGCATTTTATATGGTGCAAGTGACATCTTAGTTTATGAATCCAAGAAACAAAGGTCCTTTATAAGAAAGTTGGTGGTGCGTGTGTGTGTGTCTGTGTGTGTTTAGTCTCCATCAATCCCATCCAGCATTTTTAAGCAGCGGGTGTTCCCCAACTCATAAACTGCTCCTCGTTTGCCTTCACCTGGTTGAGGTACCCCATAGGCAGAGTTGTGAATCGGCAAAGTTCTTCACCAGTGTCTCACACCTTCCTTTTTCTCATTCTTAGTGGTGCACTTTTTCTGCTCCCTCTTGTGGAGCTTAGGACCTCTCTGCATGTTACTATTTTCAGAACCAAGAGTGTCTGCCTCAGTATTGCCTCCTTCAATATTATCCTCAAGATACTAACTTTGCCAGTTCACTAGTAACATGAAATAACCATTTGTTATGCTTTGGGGCAGAAATCTGGATAGAGCACAAGGGATACCTTGTCTCTGCTCTCAGCTCAGAGGCCAGTCTGAAATCCGAAGGGTCTGGTGGTTGATGCTGGCCATCAACTAGAGGCCTCTGTTCTCCTCCACCTGGTTTTCTGGGTGTGGTCTTTGCATGTGTTGGATTGGCTTACTCACAGCACAGTGGTTGGTCCCCTCAGAGTGAGCATCTCAGAATGAGAGCCAGTGCTAGCGTATCCTTTTGAGGGCCCAACCTCAGTCATACAGCATTGCTTCCATCACACTTTATTTTTGGGAGCAGTTAACAAATCCACCTAGGCTTAGGGACATGGATCAGAAATACTGCTGGAGCCATTTTTGGAAAATATAATCTGTCACAGCTAAATTTTAAAGAAATTTTTAATGTTAAATTTAAAGTACAGCATTAAATTAAATTAAAATATTACCATTCACTGAACCTTAGTATGTGCCAGACACTATATATTATTTCTTTCCAGTCCACAGTACAGTACTGCAGTGTAGATACTGCCATGCCCAATTTCCACATGAGAGATTTAGAACTCAGAAACCTTAAGTAGCTTGCCCATGTTCACATGCTCGGCAAACTGCTGCACCACAAACCAAAGCCCATGCTTTTTCTCAGTGTGCCTCTTAGTGCTTGTTGCCTGTAACCTTTGCTTTACAAAAGAACCAATGCAGTATGATGGTTGTAGTGTGTCCATTTTGATGAGATTTAGCCACAGTAGCGATTTTGACCTTTCTTCTGGCTCATTACAGTGGGGCTCTCTTGGTAATTATTTCTTCTAAAGAAGGAAATTTGCACAGCTCTGAAATTAGGGGGCAAAAAGAAGAAAGTGTTTATAACTGAAGGTGCTGGCACACAGCTTGATTGATTTGGGTTGTACCTGATGCTTTTCTGTTATTATTTACCCTAATGTCTGCCTGGCTTACTCCCTAATTCAGGTCTCTGCCTGAATGCTATTACCGCAGAAAGGCTTTTCCTACTCTCTGTGTTCAAAGGGCTCCTCCATCACTGCCTCCTTACCCTGCTGATTATTCTTCATAACCTTTTCACCATCTGATTTTAAAAATAAAAAATCAGTTTATCCACTTGTTTACTTGACCCCACTGGAATGTAAACTCTAAGCAGGCAGAAACTTTTTCTCTTTTGTTTACTGCTGTATACCCAGTGCATAGAATAGTGCTTGACTTAGAGTCGTTGTTAAGTAAATACTATCGATTTAGTAAGTGAATGAATGGATAGCTTGGGCTACTTTGCCCATGCTGATTTGCATGATTGATTAGCTTCATATTTAAGAAGTAATCAAAGACTAGCATGGCTGTTTCTTATTTATATTCTAGGAGGTATTTAACTGAAAGGAATCTCTGCCTCACTGTTCCAACCAAACCAGATGCCTTCTTCCACTTCACCAGACCAAGGAGATGACCTGGAGACCTGCATTTTAAGATTTTCTGACCTGGATTTAAAAGATACAAGTCTTATTAATCCCAGCAGCAGCCTCAAAGCAGAGTTAGATGGCAGTACGAAGAAAAAATACTCGTTTGCAAAGAAAAAGGTAGAATTCCTATGAATGTTTCATGATTATGTATGTATGGTTAATGCAGATACATTTGAAAGTAGCTTTATCAAGGTTGCTCTCCAGCTCAAGGTAAGATCTAGTCAGGGACATTAACCAGTGATGTGAATTCCATCTCAGGCAAAAGGGAATCATAGGCAAGGTGTGGCCCTGGAATAGTCATGGTGGAGTACTTGAGGAGGGTGGATCCTAGACAGATGGGTTAGATTTCATTCCCCCCTCCCAGGTCAAAAAACACTATAAACAAAGTTGAAAACCAAATGACAAGTGAAGAAAAAGTTTGTAACTATGATCAACAAAAGATCACTAAAAACACTTACACATCAGTAAAAAGATGAATGCCATAATGGAAAAATAGTCAACAGATGTGAACGGGCAAGCCAGAAAAAAAAAAATAAATAGGAAAAAGTATTCAACATTACTACTAAACAAAGTCATTTAAAAAATAGCATTTCTTTTGCCTTTTATTTGGACCAACATTAAAAATATTGATGATAAAAAGTATTATCAAAATATTGATGATAAAAAGTACTTAGTAAGGCTGTGGATAAAATGGTACCCACATGCTTTTCTGGTTAGAGTATAAATTGGCACATTTTTCCGGGAAGTCACTATTACAGATTAACATTTCATGCTTTTTGACCCCGCAATTTTTATTTTAGATACTCTATATAGATGGTTAAAGATATAGAAAGATGGATGCATGGAAGCTCATTCAGTATTGCTTATAATTAGAAATAGTAGAAACAATCTAAATGTTCATCAGTTGTTAACTGGTTAAGAGAATTTTCTGTTTGTTTTACAATAGCATAAGTAATTTTTATAAAAACAGTAATATTATTTTCCAGGAAAGAAAACATTTTGGTACATTTCTTCCCAGTCTTTTTCAATGTACTTTTTAATGTGGTTGAGATTATATTGCATAAGCAAATTTTATCCAATTTTTTTCACTTAACATTATTATATCATAAATATTTTTCCATATAACTTAAAACTGGCTGCTTAATATTCCATGGTAAGCATACCCCATAATTTACTTTCCATTTTCCTTTTGAAAATAACTGATAGTGTTATTTGTAATATCTTAGGCCAAACTGTATTATGTATATTCCACTGTGACTAATTCCTGAGAATAAAATTATGATGCTGAGAGTTATTTAACCTCCTTAATATAAAGCCTAGTCTTAATTTCTCTAATAGTCTCTTCTAAAGCTTACTAATAAGAGAAGTGTTACTCCTCAGAGAATCGTATAGCATAATGGGACATAAAACTGGAAACCCCTGCGGAAAGATAATATAAGGAATCTCACTGAGACTTCTATTGGCCATAAACTTAAGGTTATTTAACAGTGTTTGTATTTGTAATCTAATTACAGGCCTTTGCTCTTTTTGTCAAAACCAAAGAAGTTCCAACAAAAAGGAGTTTTGAATGTAAAGAAAAATTGTGGAAATGCTGTCAGCAACTATTCAGAGACCAAACCAGCATCCATAGACATGTGGCAACACAACATGTTGATGAAGTTTATCACCAGACAGCTTCTATTTTAAAGCAACTGGCTGTGACATTGAGCACCTCAAAGAGTCTTTTGTCTGCAGATAAAAAGAACCCTCTAAAAGAATGCCTTCCACATAGCCATGAAGTGTCTGCTTGGCTCCCTGATATAACCTGCTTTAACCCTGATGAGCTGATAAGGTAAGATTTTCATTCTGTATTTTGGTTTGATTTAAAGTATTTTTCCAACCACAGTGGGATACGACAGTTCACCAATTAAAATGGCCAAAGTGAGAAAGACTAACTCTGTCAAATGTGAATGAGGATGTAGAACAACTGGAACACCCAGTCACTGCTGGAGGCAACATAATATGGCACAACCACTTTGGAAAAGTGTTTGGCAGCTTCTTAAACATGCATCGTCCCTGTGGCCCATGCCTGGGTATAATACCAACAGCAATAAAAACATGTCCACAGAAAGCCTTATACAAGAATGCTCATAGCAGTTGCATTCATAGTAACAAAAAACTGGAAACAACTATAATTATCCATCAACAAGAGAATGCATAAACTGGTATAGTCACATAAGAATACTGCACGACAATAAAATGCCATAAACTGCTAATATGCAAGAACATATATAGGTAAATGAGAAAATCCTTAGGCTGAGTGAAAATAGCCAGACATGGGCCACGTGTGGTGGCTCATGCCTGTAATCCCAGCACTTTGGGAGGCCAAGGCAGGCAAATCACGAGGTCAGGAGTTCGAGACCAGCCTGGCCAACATGGTAAAACCCCGTCTCTATAAAAAATTAGCTGGGTGTAGTGGCAGGTGCCTGTTATCCCAGCTACTCAGGAGGCTGAGGCAGGAGAATCGTTTGAACCTGGGAGGCGGAGGTTGCAGTGAGCCGAGATCACACCACTACACTCCAGCCCCGGACCTGGGGTAAGAAAAAGAAAATTGTAATATATATTTACTATTCTTTCAGTGGAAGTGGCTCATCATAAAGATCTTGACCCTTGTCACCCTTACATTGAGTAGGCTGAGGAGGAAGAGATTTTGGTCTTGTTGCCTCATGAGTGCTAGAGGCAGAAAAAGATCTGCAAATAAGTGGACTTGCACAGTTCAAACCCATGTTGCTCATGGGTCCACTGTAGTCCAAATTTGATAAATTTTTGTCATTACGACTCAGTGCCACATTCCCTTTGCTTATCGGAAAGCATAAAGTTAGAAAGGAAATTGAAGTAGGAGTCACACTTGAGCTATTCACTAAAATTTTCCATACCTTCATTTCCTCACCTCTAAAATTGGAGTAACAATCCGTGCCTTGCCTTCCTCCCAGTACTGCAGAATGGATTACATAGGATGGTGATAGAAGGAGCACTTGTGAACTATAGTGTGCTACACAGATGTGGCCATTCCATTTCATTATGGCCCCACACTTCAGGGAATTTACTTACTGGTTAGAGAAACAAAGAAAAAGACACATGAGACAAATTAGCAGATGATACAAAACAGGTTATATAATTACCTGTTGAATTGTATGATACAGAGACTAATTTGTTAAAGGAGCTTAGAGAAAGGAAAATAGGATCTGAAATAGGCAAGAAGGTTTCATGGAGGAGGCTAGGCCCTGAAATATGATGAGGCTGTTGATGAGACACTCAGACTCCAGAGCTGGAGAGGACTTTAATTGTCCTGTATAGTGGCATTCCCTAAGGTTCCATGGAACACTAGTTTTAGAGGCTGCTAACAAGATATTGAAAAAGAGGGTATGAAAGACAAATTTGGGAAGCACTCAATCAAACTGTTGTTACTGCAAGACTTCTCAGAGCCTTTAATAGATAAGAGGCTTTTGCCGTGATTCTTAAGGAGGGAGATGCTGTCTACAGGGTTTCCAAACGTGACTTTATAGAGCAGCTTCATAACACGCTTTGGAAAATATAATTTATTTCCAATCTCTGATTTTTTTTTTTTTTTTTTTTTTTTTTTTGGGATGGAGTTTCGCTCTTGTTACCCAGGCTGGAATGCAATGGCGCCATCTCGGCTCACCGCAACCTCCGTCTCCTGGGTTCAGGCAATTCTCCTGCCTCAGCCTCCTGAGTAGCTGGGATTACAGGCACGCGCCACCATGCCCAGCTAATTTTTTGTATTTTTAGTAGAGACGGGGTTTCACCGTGTTGACCAGGATGGTCTCGATCTCTTGACCTCGTGATCCACCCGCCTCGGCCTCCCAAAGTGCTGGGATTACAGGCTTGAGCCACCGCGCCCGGCCCCATTCTCTGATTTTACAGATGAGGAAACTAAGGCCCAGAAGTGATGAAAAGTCCAGGTTTCACAGCTAGTTAGTATAAGACAGCACAGTGCAGTAGGGAAAGAGCATAGATTCTGATGTCAGAAGACTGGCGTTCAGGTCCTTGCTATCACTTTCTGGCCATCTCATTTGGGAGGAATTGGCCTCAGTTTATTCAGCTGTAAAATGGGGATGATAATAATAACCTGCATCATAGAAAGAGGGTTATAAGAAAAAATGGAAGTGATCCTGAAATACCATAGGGGGAAAAATAAAAAAAAAAATTAAAAATTAAATAAATATAAGAAAAAATGGAAGTGAAACTTTTTTGTATGATGATTCATACAGATCCTTCCTTATGTGAGAGGATAAGCCAGAATGCAACCAAATTTCTAACTTTTCTATGAATTGGAGTTACTAATACCTGTCTCTTGGATATGACCATTAAATGAGGGATCCAAGTAAACTCACTTTTTGTCAAGTAAGTTCGGTATAGATACCGTCTTCTGTACAGCAAATATAAAAGGAAATTGCTTTTCATTTCAGGAGAACAATAATCAGAGCAAAGGCAGGCATGAGTGTCTTCATCTTAGCCTTCCCTCAGACTGCCTGGGTGTGCTTTATGAATTGTGACTTCTTTATGCCAGTGACTCAAATGCTCTTTGCATTTTATAGTGGCCAGGGCAGTGAAGAAGGGGAGGTGCTCCTTTATTACTGCTACCGTGACCTGGAGGATCCCCACTGGATCTGTGCCTGGCAGACAGCTCTGTGTCAGCACCTGCACCTCACAGGCAAGGTAACACCTCCTCCGCCACTCCCTCCTCCACTCGGTTCATCTTGCCTGCCGACCTTGGATTGCAAATGCTGTGCTCATTATAAAAAAGAATCACTGTTGAGTGTTTAGAAGTTAGGGAAATTCTTTTGGGAATTTAAGTAGAATACTAGCTATTAACATGGTATTTTTTAAAGAATATTTACTGGCATAAACCAGGAGTCAGCAAACTTTTTCTTGAAGAACCAGATAGTAGATATTTTAGGCTTTGCAAAAAAAACTATTCAATATTGTTATACCATGTGCGTAACTATAGATAATATTTGAAAGAATTGTATGGCTCTGGTTGACTAAAACTATATGGAAAACAAGGATAATTTGCTCTTCCCTGGTATAGGGAAATATTCATGATATATTAACTGGAAAAACGTTTTACAGTACATAGAGGGTGTGATTCCAAGTTGCTTCTTAATTTTCCTAGAACGTGCCAGGGTCATTTACCAGCTCAGGGTGTTGACATTTGCTGTTTCCTTCCTCTCTAGAGTGCTCATCCCCTGCACTTTCACATGGCACATGCCCTACTTCAGATCTCTGCTCACATACTGTCTCCTTAGAGCTCTAGTCTGAAGTAGTCCTCTCCAGACCTCATCACGTTCTATCCCTTTCTGCTTTTCAAAGAATTTATTACTACCTGAAAGTATAATCTTCATTTATAACCTTCAGGAGGACAGGAACTTTGATCTTAATTAATTGATATATTCTCAGTACTAGAACAGAGCTTAGCATATAGCAGATCCTCAGAAGATATTTGGAGAATATAGAATGAAGGAATGGATGCATGTTCATGCCAAAACCAGAAGTGTGTGTATAAAGATGGAAGGTTGTGTATACCAAAATGTTAGTAAAATTGTCTAGGCATGTAGGGTTATTGATGGTTTTTATTTTTTTGGTTTTATTTTTCTAAAATATTCCTGATTACATTTCACACATCTGTATGTCTGTGTCTTTTGTGTTAACTTTCAAAGTTTTAAATTGTATACCACTACCAGTGAGTTGTCATTGGCTTGTGCCATGAATCTTGTTTTATATCCATAACCTAAAGAATTGATCAAGTGAGGCATCAACCCAAGTGCCTTCTCTGGACCCTGAAAAGGGCAGCCATTAAACATTTTTGAATTATAAAGTACTGGTAGATATTGGTGTTACATGACTAGAACAATATAGGACCTTGAATTAAATCATCTGCTTTTCCAGAAATTGCCATGATGCCACATGTGCTGTGCTTGCTAGCACTTTTCTTTGGAGAACCATCTTTAAACTCATCCACAGGATTTTGTAGTACCAAAACAACCAACTCTGCAGGGCACCCAGAGCATTGTCCCTTAAGGCAGGGCCTTACCCCAGGCTCTAATGTCCCCTAACCAGGGGAGCATTTCAAAGAGAATCAGGGTTCGAGATACCAAAGAGCCCCAGATATGGATGCACATTCATTTATTCAGCAAATATGTACTGAGGGCCTACTATGTGGCAGGCACTGTTCTGGGGGATATACTAGTGAGCAAAACACACATACCTACGCAGAACTTGTATTCTAGTGGATGGGTTTGCAGTGGTGGACTGTCCTCCAAACACCATGCAGAGATACATGCTCACACATACTCTCTGCTCTCAGATGTGCTCTGTGCTTTAGGATTTGGATAGTATCTCCTCAGCAGTTCTTTTCATTTCTGGTGCTCTTTAGTTCCCTATTTATCCACATAAAGAAATAAGGGTTCAGAGAAGTCAATTAACTTTCTCACAGCTAAATGCAAGTTAGTGGCAGAGCTTAATCTTGATCCTAGATCTGCTGACCTCTGTAGAGGACTCTGTTATGCTACCTGGATTTAGATTAAGCTCAGAATTCACTTTTTTGGCTGTTGGACCATCGTAGCTCCATAGGAAATGGGCTTTCCAGGAGTTTTATTCACATTCTCTTGTTCAGCACACATGAAACAAAATAGTTCATCTTAACTGTAGGCTATGCCATTTTAGAAAAATACAGATATCCAGCTGGGTGCAATGGCTTATTCCTGTAATCCCAGCACTTTGGCAGACCAAGGTGGGTAGATCACTTGAGGCCAGGAGTTCAAGACCAGCCTGGCCAACATGGTGAAACTGTCTCTGTTGAAAATACAAAAATTAGCCGGGCTTGGTGGTACATGCCTGTAATCCCAGCTACTTGGGAGTCTGAGCTAGGAGAATTGCTTGAACACAGGAGGTGGAGGTTGCAGTGAGCTGTGCCACTGTACTCCAGCCTGGGCAACAGACCAAGACTCTGTCTTAAAAAACAAACAGGTATCCATCTCACACCAGTCAGAATGGTATTATTAAAAAGTCAAACACTAACAGATGCTGGTGAGGTTATGGAGAAAATGAAATGCTTATATACTGTAAGTAGGAGTATAAATTAGCTCAACCATTGAGGAAGACAATGTGGTGGTTCCTCAAAGACCTAAAGATGGAGATACCATTCAACCCAGTAATCCCATTACTGGGTATGTAACCAGAAGAATATAAAATAAATTGTTCTGTTATAAAGACATATGCACACATATGTTCATTGAAGCACTGTTTGCAGTAGCAAAGACATGGAATCACCCTAAATGCCCATCAGTGATAAACTGGATAAAGAAAATGTACTGGATAAAGAAAATGTGGGAATACTATACAGCTATAAAAAAGAACAAAATCATGTCCTTTGTAGAGACATGGATGGAGCTGGAGGCCATTACCCTTAGCAAATTAATACAGGAACAGAAAACCAAATACTGCATATTTTCACTTATAAGTGGGAGCTAAATGATGAGAACACATGGGCACATAGAGGGGAACAACAAACACTGGGGTCTTTTGGAGGGTAGAGGATGGGAGGAGAGAGAGGATCAGGAAACATAACTAAGGGGTACTAAGCTTAATGCCCAGGTAGAAAAATAATCTTCACAACAAACCCCGATGACACAATTTTACCTACAGAGCAAACCTGCACTTGTACCCCTGAACTTAAAAGTTTAAAATAAAAAAACACAGATATCTTTGTCAATAGCACTTTGGTGTCCTCAGCTGCATCTCTGCTTTTCCTGTTAAATTCATTGACACAAATGAGTCTATTGTTCTTCCTTAGAAAGATAACTAAGCTAAGAACAGTCTGTGTTCTCTTTCTTACCGTCTTGTCTCAGATTCGAATTGCTACAGAAGGAATCAATGGGACAGTTGGTGGAAGCAAACTGGCTACCAGACTCTATGTGGAAGTCATGCTTTCCTTCCCATTGTTTAAGGATGATCTGAGTAAAGACGATTTTAAGGTAAGAGGAAATGAAAATAAAATGGATCTAGAGCCATCAGCTTCTGCCTCAGTGCGTGTTATTGAAGAGGAGTTCAAAGTAGAGAAATAAGCAGTGCCAAGTAAATACCCTTTCCCCTTTATTTTTTGTGTGTTTTTTGGGATTTGGGTGGGGGGGGTTGTTTTGTTATGTTTTTTGACAGAGTCTCACTGTGTCACCCAGGCTGGAGTGCAGTGGCGTGATCACAGCTCACTGCAGCCTCGACTTCCCTGGACTCAGGTGATCCTCCCATGTAGCTAGGACCATAGGCGGGCACCACCATGTCTGGCTAATTTTTAAATTTTTGTAGAGATGGGGTCTCACTATGTTGTTCAGGCTGGTCTTGAACTCTTGGGTTCAAGCAATTCTCCTGTCTCAATCTCCCATAGTGCTGAGATTACAGATGTGAGATTACTGGTCCCCTTTCCCCTTTAAATATGCTTTTCCCTTTAGGTTATGAGACAGTGCAATAGAAGGAGCATGCTTGTCCCCATTCTTCCATTGAGTCACCATGTCATCTTGGACCAGCTAATGCCCTCTCTAGACCTCAGTATCCCTTCTTATAAAATAAGGATGTTATAGCTCATGCAATCTGGGACTCTAATAGACTTGGACAGATTAGCTCACTTGAGAGACCACCAGGCTGGTCAGCACATCACAGTGTTTTTAGTAAATCTGGAATAGTATGATTAACACTTCACACCACATGGGGGAATAAAGCCGTTGCTCTCCCAGGTGGGCTACATTGTTTGACATTGTTTGAGTGACTTTATACTTAGTCATAATAAGTGATAAGGTGATGGGAAGTGCCTTGCTAGTGTTCATACTGGCAGTGATAGGAAAAGAACGAAAGCTGGGCATAATCACACGTGAGAATTGCTTGGCGGCGTTTCTGTTGTATAATTAAATGATTATACCTAAAGAAACACCTTTTCACCTTAACATTCCTTCACATGGCAGGTATGCAATAAGTATTTATTAATGTTGAATTATCTAGAATATTCTGGGCCCTAACCAGAAGTTTTTTAAGGCTTCAGCTATCGTTATTACAAAATAGACCATTATTCTTCTACTGGCACTTTTCTTATACCTGGAGATGGGACAGGAAGACTGTATTCTGTTTTGTTTTTCATTGGCTAGACCAGCAAAGGAGGAGCTCACTGTTTTCCAGAATTGCGTGTTGGTGTATTTGAAGAAATTGTGCCCATGGGCATCAGCCCCAATAAGATCTCCTACAAGAAGCCTGGTATGCTTGCTTTTAGAAGATTGTGCTTTAATTCACAGGGACAAAGCTTAATAGAGAGACAAATAAGAAAGCTGGGCAATGTGATCAGCAGGAGTCATGAGTTCTCTCTAAAGCAGCTGTGGGGTGGCTAACGCTTGGGTGCTTAGACTTGTTTCTCTGTGGTGCTGAGGTAATTGAAGACTCACCTCTTAGAGTGACATATCTTATTCTTCTTCTTGGTGATGGTTTAGCAAGTAGTTGTTTCTCTTTCCAAAGATAGCAGTTTGGGAAGAGTGTAATTATTACTTGTAAACAGTTCATCAGCAGAATAGAGCACGCAGACCTTTTGCTACAGGAACCAAGTTGCTTTCAACACTAAAGCAGTTTTCACTGTGCTCTAGAATGTTCTTTCCCCATCTTCTCCATGGTAAATGGTTGAAAGACATTTGTTTGGCACGTTTTTGGGGGGTTTTATTGTCCTTTTTACTATGAAAAATTTTAAACATTAAAAAAAAAGTAGAAAAAATAGTATAGTGAAATTCTATGTACCTGTCATACAGCTTTAGCAGTTAACTGATTCATGGCCAGCTCTCACCCATACCCCATCCTTTCTCCCATCTTGGATTATTTTTTGAAAGGAATCCCAATGTCAGCCCATTTCATTTGTAAATATTTTTAGTAGATACCGCTAAAAGATAAAAATTTGTTCAAAAAGACGTAAAACTATATCACATCTTAAAACATTTTAACTAATTCCTTAATATATTATCAAATATCTAGTTAGTCTATAACCATAAGTCAGGTACTAATCCAGATTCCTTGGCCTGGCTCTGGGCCCTCATCTCTCCTTGGTGTGGAGCAGTTTCATTGGTTGTTGGGGTTCCTCTCTAAGAGGAATGAAGCTCCTTTGGTGCTGTAAAGCTTTATCATGGGTGGTGGGTAACTGAGTCACCAGAGCCCCTGGCAATGATGAGGCATGGCTACCTCACAATGCAGATTCACCAAAAGTTCCTCGCAATCTACTGGGATGTCTGGACTCCCAAAGATAGGGGAATACTTCTATCCTAGAGAGTTACAAGGCAAAGAGCCCCAGGAGACTGCGGTTCTCTTTTTTTAGTCCCTTTGTATATATATTTTTGAGACGGGGCCTTGCTCTATTGCCCAGGCTGGAGTACAGTGATGTGATCATAGCTCACTGTAGCCTTGATCTCCTTGGCTCAAGGAATCCTCTTGCCTCAGCCTCCAAAGTAGCTGAGATTGTAGGCACACACCACCATGGCCAGCTAATTTTAAAATTTGTTTTGTAGAGACATAGTCTCGCTATGTTGCCCAGGCTTCTCCTTGTATTTTTAAAAAATTTATTTATTATACTTTAAGTTCTGGGGTACATGTGCAGATCATGTAGGTTTGTTACATAGGTATACACAAGCCATGGTGGTGGTTTGCTCCATCCATCACCCCATCATCTACATAAGGTATTTCCCCTAATGCTATCCCTCCCCAATCCTCCCACCCCCTGCTATTCCTCCCCTAGCTCCCCACCTCCCAGGCTTTCCTGGCTTTTTCTCTCCTTTACTTTCTTTCTCATATGTCATTTCTGTGTCTCCTCCTCTTGCCCTTTTCTTTTACTCATGTACACACACTTAGAGACATTCTTCTTGCCCTTTTGCATTAAAAATGTATATATTCCAACATTTTTCCATAACTTTATGCTTACACCTGCCTGTGTCAGGGTTCTTAGCCTTCAACGTGGGTTTGACCTTGATATAGAACAGTTTACACAGCCTATAGTGAGCCACATATATGCCCAGCTCCTCCATGCACAGTGACAATAGAACGGCAGCCGTTTCCTGACCTACTAGTGACCATACAATGGACCAGCAAATTCACATGGCAATTTAGATCTCAGTTACCTGGTTTTTATCACTAGGGTTAGGCCAAGTATGAGGATGCACACTTCTTTGCCTAGTCATTTCTAAACTACCAAGTCTCCTTAGCCCTCATTTTAGGAAGATGGCGATTGAGGATACCTGGAATTACTAAATTATTTCATCATGATCATCAAATAGTGTTCTTTTCAGACAGCTGTAATCATGAAGAGGTTTGGGTGGAAAGAAACTAAGCAACATGTAAGTGAGGCTGGGCCAGTTGTGATTGGGTTTTGGGTTTTTTGTTTTGTCTTTAACATAATTTTTTGGTTTGGTTTTAGGAGTCCATTTATCCCCAGGTGAATTTCATAAAGAAGTAGCAAAGTTTTTATCTCAGGCAAATCAAGAACAAAGTGATACTATCCTTCTTGATTGCAGAAACTTCTATGAAAGCAAAATAGTAAGTAAGAGCCAGAATTAAGTTCTCTGAATTGGTACATCTCACCATTCCCACAGTGTGATATATTTCCCAAGGGGACCTTGTGTGTGCCTACCTGTGGCCACATGGATCTCCTCCGAGTACTAGTAGCTTCAGAGAAATGCAAGCCCTTAAACTCAGAATCTGATGAGAGAGTCTAAGAAAATATGAATTAAAGACATCTTGGCACATAATATACTTCTTGACCATGAGCCTGCCTTTGACATGGATCTAGGATCTTGCAAAGTTGCCTTTGGGCAGCCTCTCCAGTTCCCCTGAGGACCCTGGGAAGGTGACCCATAGCTCACCAGCCTTGGTTTGAAATTCAGATCTTGAAATTGAAAGGTCAAGAGTGGGGATGAGATTAGCAACTAGCAGGGGCTTCTTTGCCAAAGTGGGGTTTGTTGGGCACAAAAAGAACCTTGCTCCTACCAAGCATGTTTTTCTGATAATTTTCCTTTTGCTGTTCCTGTGTTACAGGGACGATTTCAAGGCTGCTTAGCACCAGACATCAGGAAATTCAGTTACTTCCCTAGCTACGTTGACAAAAATCTAGAACTTTTCAGAGAGAAGAGGGTGCTGATGTACTGCACCGGGGGCATCCGCTGTGAGCGGGGTTCAGCCTACCTCAAAGCCAAGGTGAGCCACCACCCCAGGCCACTGTGGGCATGGTGGTGAAGGAGGCGGCTCCATCAGCAGCCTGTGTGGAGCTGTCCACTGCCCCCAGTACCTCCCCACCCCAGGCAGCCAAAGCATGCATTCACCCCTTCTATGGCTCCAGCATGGATTTTATAAGTACAAAATCTGAGGGTCTTTAATCTCAAGACGTGAAAAACACTTAACAGTCTTAGAGACTCGTCAAATGTAAAAGGGAGAGATTAGTTAACATCTCCCATTTCCTAATCCTTTTGCTTGATCCTGAGAAGAGCAAATTCAGTAACATTACATGTCCCAACAGGTGTCTTCCTATATTTAGGGGGCAGCAGAAATAGTTGGGCTTCCCAGGATCTAAAGGGTGAAAGCCCTGCCTGCTGTCATCACCCATCCCCCTAGGAGGCAAGATCTGTCCAGTTGGTGCCTTACTTAACCCCTTGGTCAGCAATTCCTCAGTGTCCTGCAGGGGGAGCCAGTAGCCCCTGACTGATAGCAGCTGCCATGAGTCCTCCACGTCAACACTCCTCGCCATGCTCCACTTCTCCGTGGAGCATCTTAACAGGTCTCTGCTTGGCTCTTCAGATTTCCTGTTGTTTTTCCACACCTAGGGAGTGTGCAAGGAGGTGTTCCAACTCAAGGGTGGCATCCACAAGTACCTGGAAGAGTTTCCAGATGGCTTTTACAAAGGGAAGTTGTTTGTTTTTGATGAACGCTATGCTCTGTCCTACAACAGTGATGTGGTGTCAGGTAGGTCAGCGCAAGCTCAGAGCCCAAACTGAAATGAAGCATATTACCAGTCACCATTCTAGAAAAATGACACAGGGAAGACAGGCCAGTGCTCATTACTGAGCACTGAATAAGCTGGGAAAGTAAGTACATTGTGCCACCATTTTCCCAGCAGTGGAGCAGAGAGAACCCTAGCCCAGGAGTCAGGAGGCCTGTGTTGGGATCCTGGCCTCACCATTGCTAGCTGGACAAGCTCTTTAACGTGGGGATCATCTCACCTGCCATGCCTGCCTGCCTGTCTGCCTGCCTGCCAAAAGCTGGACTACTGGGCTATTTCAGGGCTCTTAACCTGGAATTGGTATATAGATTTTAAGGATTCTGCGAATTTGGATGGGAAAATAATTCTATCTTTGTTTTCAATAACTCCTCGCTAAAATGAAGCATTTCCTTCAGTTATGAATGTAGGCAACAAAACCAGTTGTATTAACCTACCTGTGACTTTGTCTTCAGTAAGATTCACAATACTTTCATATGTTACAGTTGCCTCAGATATCTCAAAATAGTATTTATATCACTGCTTCAAAATGGAAATAGTTTATTAGACCCACCACTAAGAATTGATACATAATGTGTTAATGACACATCTTACTATATATATATATATCACAGATTTTGAAAAATACTTTGATATTTTGTATTTGTATATAGTTGGTTTCCTTTGGAAACTTACATATTTTATGCATTTAAAAATGTTTTTCTAGGTCAGGCAGAGAAGCTCATGACTGTAATCGCAGCACTTTGGGAAGCTAAGGTGGGAGGATCACTTGAGCCCTGGAGTTTGAGACAAGCCTGGGCAACATAGTGAGACCCCATGTCTACAAAAAAATTTTTAAATTAGCTAAGCATTTATTTTCACTTAAGTGGTTTTGTAGTCTCTTACTGATCACTACTTCAGATCTGTTTTGGAGCTAGATGGGGTATAAATTCTAAACAAGTAGAAAGAGTAGATTTGATTTTACAGGGGTTATATTGGCTGGACTCGATGGGTACCTGCATGTGAGTGTGAAGGAGAAAGAAAAGGCTCAAAGGTAGCTTAGATAAGCAAGATAAGGAAAGATGAGGAAGAATGATGTTATCAATGGTAACAGGAGGTCATCAGGGAAAAACAGGTGGAGAACAAGATGGTGTGAATTTTAGGAAGCAGATGGTCAAGTGTCCTAACAACTGCAGGAGAGATGCAGTCCTGGGGGAGAGGGGTGTGGACTGCAGATGTTCATTGTAGGTGGGTTATCGCCTGAATTTAGGTGTGTTGTCCCCACAGGAAAAGAGAATGATCAAAGGGGAAAAGATCACTTAACAAGGGGGTTTGGGAGGTGGTTGGCCAGCTTTGGAATAGCTGGTGAGAGAGAGAAACTTTGATTACCATCTAGTCACCACCTGTTCTCTAATGGGAAAAAGAAAAAAAAAGGAAATACCGGAAGCAGACAGTTCCCCGAAGTAATCTCCCAAAGAATAAGCCAGGTGGTTTGGGTGGTGGTTGGTTGTTGTTGCTAGAAGACAGAAGCAAAAACCTATTTGGAAACCTTCCCCGGATATCTTAGCTTCTGGCCAGCTAAGGGGAGGAATGCCTGTCTACATGTGAGTGAATGCATGTGTTTATAATGAGGGCTTTCCTTCTTCCCCAGAATGTTCATACTGTGGAGCCCGGTGGGACCAGTATAAACTCTGCTCTACTCCCCAGTGCCGCCAGCTCATTTTGACCTGCCCTGCCTGTCAAGGACAAGGATTCACAGCCTGTTGTGTCACATGTCAAAACAAAGGGAGCAGGAAGGCTTCAGGCCCTACGCAAGACAGCTTCAAAGAGGAATGCGAGTGCACAGCCCGACGGCCACGTATACCTATGGAACTCTCGCAGCATGTGCGACAGCCTGTGGGCCCAGAGCCAGGGCCTGATGCTGCTGAGGATGGGCCACGGCTTGTGTGAGCAGCACCTTTGGCATTTTCCCAGGCCCTTGATAGAAGTAGGTTTGGGGTGACCATATACAGAAAGAATAGCAAGGCTGCAGAAATAGAAATCAGGAACTTCAGTGCTGGCCACTGTCACCATGGCAGCTCTCTGCACTTCACAGTGGGAGGGGAGAAGGAGTCACATTTTCTACCACTTACCTGAGACATTCTGATATGGATGATGCTAAAGCACAGAAAAAAGGTGAGCTGCGTGGGATCCCAACGCTGCTGAGGGATACAGCCCGTGCCTGGTGGCCACAGCATGCCCTTTCTCTGCCATGCAGCGGAGCTGTTAGTCATTGCCCTTGTCAGCAGACCTTCTACCCCGGTGGCAGACGTGAAAGCTATGGCCCTGGGAGTGGCCTCCTAAAACAAGCCACTTAGGTAATCTGCCATCTTCCCTTAACCAGTTTCTCCTCTGATAGCCTGAGGACATCTGCAGGCTGTGGCATTGGGCTAACCTCCTGCTTTTGTAGATATAACCATTCTTTTGTATACATGGAGGATGTTACAAGAACACCCGAGTATGCCAAAACTCTTGCATACTCAAGTTCCACAGTGGGTCCTGCAGAACCCGTGTATCTGATAAATCAGTCCTCCATGTATGCAGATTTCGCATCCCATCAGTACTGTATTTTCAACCTGCATGGTTGAAAAAAATCTATATAAGTTCAGCCATGCAGTTCAAACCCATATTGTTCAGGGGTCAACTGTACAGTTTATTGGCACAGCCACACTCATTCCTTTATGTATGATCTACGGCAGAATTGAGTAGTTGCAACAGAGACTATGTGGCCTGTGAAATCTGAAATGTTTACTGTCTGGCCTTTTACAGAAAAGTTTGCCAGCCCATGGTGTAGACCAACAGCTTATCTGATAGAGATAGAGGTGGCCTTAAAGATGTTGCCTTCTTCATTTTTTTTTGGTTTGGTTTCTGTGAGACATTTCCTCTAATAGCTCTGCTTTCCCCAGCACTCACTCTGTTAGCTTTTAAATGTTCTCTTTGGGAGCTTCATATAAGCTTGATGACATTTGAGCCACAGTTTGTAGATCAGCACCTGGAATATATGACACATTCTTAGTGAGGTCATCCAGCACTGCCATGGTGGCTGCCCAGTCTTCTGGCCAGTGTGCTAGGTACACGTTCCTGTCACACAGGGCCCAAGAAACACATACACAGCCATACATAGACCAACAGATTTAATATTATATTGCAGTTTTCAGCGATGCATAATGCAGCTGCAATTGTATTTTAAGGAGAAGCCAAGTGGGAATGGTTGTCCCTGCAACCCACTCCCGGGCCATGTGCAGCCTCAGTGGACACTTCCATAGTGCTGAGGCCCTGGCCCCACCTCCAGCTAACCTGTACTGCCCACTGCCTTGTGGTTCAGTGCGCAGGCCTTTGCCTTTTCATCACCAGCCTCTCTGCTCAGTGCTTGCAGTTCTTGGCCTTGTCCTTTATCATGAGATTTGCTGAAATCACTAATGAAAATAACTCCCAAAAGCAACCAACAAAAATACTAGTTTAACTGGCACTGTGGTATATTAAAAGGCACAAGGGCATTGTGGCTTAACACTTTTGCTGGATCCCAAGAGACGCACATGATGTTACAAAGGGATCTGGCAGAATACTAATAAATACATTTCAGTATAATCATCTTGGGGTGGTTTGGCCAGGATTTCCTAATTCTTTGATATCTAGGTTTTCTTCACCATTGTCCTGCAGAGGCTTAATACACAGGCATAAGATCAGCAGTGATTTGTCTAATAAGTGATGAGATCGGCAGCCAAAGTCGCTAAGCTGGACCATTACTAAATACCATGGCCATGTTGGACTGGAAATTTATCCTTCTAGTGTCTTACCTGACATAAGCCATTTGCCCACTGTGCAACATAGAAAGGTGTTTTCAAGTATTTGGCCATAGATTTTTACATCCATCATAAGGTTGGCATTCAATAAGGAAAAACTTCTAACTCCAGTATTAAATTGTACATAAATCCCAAATGTTCTTAAAGAACACTCAGGGACACGTTTGTTGCCTGGGCTTGGTAATGAAAGGTTCATTTTTGAAACTTGAAATTTCACCATTGGTTTTTTTCCCTATCAATCATTTCCTCATATCCAGCAAAAGGAATCTCAGGTTCTTTGATTCCTGGCAGAGTTCTGTGGCTTCAGTCTGTGTATCTGTCCTGAGGGGAAAATTGTGTCTTGATCCATTAATCAATTTGGTAACTTTAATCTTGAGGTTTTTATAATTCTAAGGAGGGTTAATAAAGAACGATAATCTGTTTTGTTTGCTAATAGCTAAGACAAATTTGTAATAAAGTGTTTCATAATACTTCTAAAGCATATGGAAGAGTATGCCATTTACGTGTTACATATTTTAAATGTACTTGAAACACCACACAGCAAGGCCACTGAAATTGGGCTCCTGGGGCTAAGTCGCTGCTACTGTAACATCATCATCTTCAGTAAGATCTGCTGGTTTGGGGGCTTCTATTCTTTAAATAATAACCAGACTGAACTTCTGAGACTAAAGAAAAACTTCACATTAACGATATTTTATAAAATTTTCAACTACAACCACTAGTCAACCTAAAACCTTAGTGCATAAAGAACTGAACCACAAAAGGGTTTCGTGCTGCTGGCGTTTTGCCTTCCGGTTTCCCCTGCAGAGCACAGGTCATCAGTAGAACATGTCCAGTTCAAAGGCATGGTCTCCACCACCGCACACTAGACACCACTCCGACACTTGGGAATGATGGGCCCAGTCAGGTCCGCAAGCCTCCTCTTCCTCACTGGAAAGGAATGGAGATGAGATATAAGGCACTTGTCTCAGTAGACCAGGGACCACCGCTGTTACTCTGAGAAAGCACTGTGAAGCTTGGCCCTAACTGGGTTGTTAGCAGTCTGAAGTCTGTTGTTTTGAAAGAACGGTATGTGTGAGTTGCACGACAGCCCTCCGGCTTGTCAGTGTTCATTGATGAGGGTCTGTGGTAGTGGAGATTCATCCATAGATTCCTGCTAAATGGCTGATTGCACAGGCCCACTTTATAGCTCAACTGTTTTCTTTGCCTACAGAAGCCCCAGCTGAAGACCTTTTTACTCCAGTTCAGATGAGAGTTAAAAGCTTAGTCAGTCGTCTTAATGAGATTAGGGTCTTAACTAGGTGGAAACATTTCCCCCAGCTGTGTCTGGGAGCGTCTGACCTACCTCCTGCCTATGTAAACGAGAGTTTCCACCGGCAAAATTACCCTACGGTATCTGTATCCCCTTATGTTTAACCTGGCCATCTTTTCCCCCGGGAACAAGACAGTTAAGCTCAACACTTTCAAGTCAAAAGTAGTTAAATGCCATAAAGAGGAAAGCACTAGCCAGGAGGCTGCAGGCTGGAGACGTTAGCTTAGAGGATGATGAGGATGCGGGGAGGGGCAGGAGGGGGTCTGTTGTCGTAACAAGGGAGTGTGTTTTGAAATTAATTATAGTGTCTGCAGATGAAGACCAAGCAGCAAGTTCCATCAGCCAGAAGAGAAAGGTCAAAGAAGTCTGTAGAGCCAGTAGGTGGCAGTCGAGAGGCCTGCTGGTGTTGCAGAGACAGGAAGCTATTGCGGAGGGAAAAAAAAAAAAAATCTGTCTATACTTAGATTTCTTCAGGTTCCCGAGCTGAGGCAGTAGACCTGCAGCCACCAGATCGATGAATATGAGCTGCAACAAAAACCGAATCAGCTGGTGCATAACACTGGGCATATACAGCAGACTCATAAGGGAGATGAGGCCAGCCCAGTTCCTGAGATGATTAGATTGTCCAACTTATTGGGGGTGGATGTGAAGGGACAAAACTCAAACCCAAAGAGCACAAGAGGTTTGCCCAATGTGCCCACAGAGTTTAATGAACCAGACTTTTCAGCACCTCCATGGTAGCTGTGCAGGCATGCCCAGCAGGGCCATCCTCATTGCCTCATTGGAGCCCTTCAATGCTGCTGGAATGTTTGTGTTGCCATTCCCATTTTATGGATGAGGAAAGTATGGCAGAGATGGTATATTTCTTGCTTAAAGCAATAAAGCTAGTACCAGACAGAACCAAGGCTTTTTTTTTTTTTTTTTTTTAGATGGAGTTTTACTCTGTCGCCCAGGTTGGGCTCACTGCAACCTTGCCTCCCAGGTTCAAGCAGTTCTCCTGCCTCAGCCTCCTGAGTGACTGGGATTACAGGCACCCACCACCACACCCTGCTAATTTTTGTGTTTTTAGTAGAAACAGGAGTTTCACCATGTTGGTGAGGCTGGTCTCGAACTCCTGACCTAAGGGATCCCCCTGCCTCAGCCTCCCAAAGTGCGGGAGTTACAAGTATGAGCCACCGTGCCCAGCTAGAACCAAAGCTTTTGACTCATCTTGAGCCTCAGTTCAGTGCCTCCCTCAATAGAGTTGAGCCTTGTCTTGGGTAGGGTTTCCATATCCATATCTCAGCTGATTCTCACAGGGAGGATTAGCTCCTTCCTGCAGAAGAAAGGAGCCCTGGTCCCTGAGAGCTGGCAGCAGAGCCAGGACTGAAATCCAAGTTCCTGGCCCATGGTTGAGGAAACAAAAATACCCCATGACTTGGTGGGGGGTGGGGGGGTGGGGGGCGTGGTTCTTTTTCCATTACTTGCCAAGTCCTCCTGAAGCTTGCCTCATCACTCCTCCAGTTAGAACCCTGACTGGGCTCGCATTGCTCTCAGCCCCTTGACGTGACTCCCAAGTCTCTTAAAAAATAGCTGACTCTTACACGGCACTTACTGTGTGTCAGAGACTGTTCTGAACACTTCCCATCTCACCAGCTCATGTAGTCCTCCCCAAAGCAGGTGAGATGACTGGTTGCTATTATCATCCACACTTTACAGGAAGGTCTAGAGAAGACGGACTGCATGAGCTGGTGAGATGGGAAGTGTTCAGAACAGGCTCTGACACACAGTAAGTGCCTTGTAAGAGTCAGCTATTATTAACAGACTTGGGAGTCACGTCAAGGGGCTAACTGAGAGCAACAGGAGCCCAGTTGGTTCTAACTGGAAGAGTGACGAGGGAGGGGCTCCAGTGAGGCAATGAGGACGGCCCTGCTGGGCATGCCTGCACAGCTACCATGGAGGTGCTGAAAAGTCTGGTTCATTAAACTCTGTGGGCACATTGGGCAAACCTCTTGTCCTCTTTGGGTTTTGGTTTTTGTCCCCCCACATTTACCCCCAAGAAGTTGAACATTCTGATCATCTCAGAATGTCGTTCTTGCCTTTTTCCATTACTTCCATAACTTGCCAAGTTATGAATAAGTCACAAAACTGAGAGTAAAAGCTGGGTCTCCCAATATCCTCCTTCAATTCTGTCTGCTCTTTACTTTCTTTAAAAAACTCCTCACTGCTTATCGCAAGAGCCAGAGACTCCTTTTATTGTGAAAGCCAGAAGGGCTCTCCAGTCGTCCGGACCAACCACCATCTGCTGCTTGAACTCCTCTGCCACTTCTTGCCAAATTTGAACATTTCCATCATGTTTTTGGAAAGCACTTCCTATTCATTTAAATATTCAGCAGCATGTACTGAGTGCTGTGTGCCAAGCACAAGAATCAGAACTAAAGACACAGCATAACAGGGACCAAGACATGCAATGTTTGAGAACTACTGTTTGATAAATATGAAATATTAGAGATGCCTGGCAGATCTCTGAGGTATAAGAGGCATAAAGAATGAAGTGCTCAGATCTTCCCAGGATGGCAGGTAACAGGTCTTAAACAAGAAAAAGGAAGAGGATGGGATTTTAAACGGAAAAGGTAGAGAATGGGAAGGTGGGGGCACTGGGAGTAACCACCCTCTAAGGGTAAGCTTTTTCCTTGGTCACTTGGGGGCACTTAAGGTACCTGGAATGGTACTAACATGGCGAAAGGATGGCTTCTTGGGGATGTCAAGAGATGACCTCCTGATGGGACCATTTCCCAATGTATAGTGCATAGGCACTGGGGCCAGATTGTCAGTTCAAATCCCGGTCCCGCCCACAGACTGTGGGTAACATTAGTTACCTACTTCTCCAGACTTCTGTTTCCTTCTGTAAAGTGTGGATAATAATGGCCCCTGTCTCACCTGGTCGTGGGGAGGACTACATGAGCTCATGAGCCAAAGTGTTCAGAACAGTCTCTGACACACAGTAAGTGCCATGTAAGAGTCAGATATTATTAAGAGACTTGGTAGTCACGTCAAGGGGCCTAACTGAGAGCAACGGGAGTCTGGTCAGGGTTCTAAGTGGAGGAGTGATGAGGCAAGCTTTGGAAGGAGACTTGGGATGAGTGCTGGGGTGCCTGCCCTGGAGGAGCTGGGGGCCTGAGGACGTTGGAGGAGATGAGAGTGACAAGGGCTCAACATGCGGCAGGACACTGGGATTGGCAGGGAGGTGACTGGCTGGCTGGGGTGGGAGCAGCATCTAGGAACAGGCTCAGATTTCTGGCTTGGGTGGCTGTGAGAAAAGGAGTAGCCTTTTCTTTTCTTTTCTTTTTTTAGACAGAGTTTTGTTCTTATCATCCAGGCTGGAGTGCAGTGGCGTCGTCTTGGCTCACTGCAACCTCCGCCTCCCACGTTCAAGCAATTCTCCTACCTCAGGCTCCTGAATAGCTGGGATCACAGGCACTCGCCACCACACCCAGCAAATTTTTTTGTATTTTTAGTAGAGATGGGGTATCACCATGTTGGCCAAGCTGCTCTCGAACTCCTGACCTCAGGTGATCCACCCACCTCAGCCTCCCAAAGTGCTAGTATTACAGGAGTGAGCCACCGTGTCTGCCTTCCTTTTCTGAGATAGGTTTGGGGGACTATGATGAAACTGATTTGGGATCCAGCAATCCCACTTCTGGATATTTATCTAAAATATTTAAAATCAGCTGAAAAGATGCTTCACTCCATGTTCATTGCAGCATCATTCACAATAGCCAAAATATGAAATCAACCTAAGTGTCTATCACCAAGAATGGATAAAGAAACTGTGGGGTGTATGCACAATGGAATACTATTCAGTTGTCATTTAAAAAAATGAAATTTGTTCATTTGCAGCCACATGAATGGAATGGGAGAACATTATACTAAGTGAAATAAGCCAGGCACAGAAAGATCAATTATATGTGGAATCTAAAACAATCGAACTCATAGGAGCAGGGAGTCAAATCATCATTACGGAAGCTGGAGGTGGAGGAATAGGGAGATGATAATGGCCACAGGCTACAAAAATCTCAGTTGGACAAAACAAGTTGTTTTTTTAAAGATCTATTACACAGCATGGTGAATATAGCTAATAATAGTATATTATACATTTCAAAACTGCTAAAAATAAACGTTCTTACCACAAAAAAGTATTTGAGGTGATGATATGCTAATTCACTTAAATCATAACAGCACTTTGTATCAGGTAAATATATACAGTTACAAATTGTCAACTGGCAATACAGTGTTTTAGAAATTGCTTCGCCATGTGCTGTGTCTGGGTTGCTTGCTGCAAAAGTCTTCCCTGAGAATACTGTAAAATGGTGACTTTCCCAAGAAGGGAAGTTTTCTGCTTTTAAACACGTTATTCTCCCTTCACATGATACCCCAACCCATACAACTGTCTTACCTCAGAGGCTGCAATTCAGATTTTGCTAAGTGGAGAGCGCTGCAGTGGCAGATTTGGAGGACCAGAATGCCATGCTTGGCCTGGCTCTTTGCTATAAATAGTGTGGAGATGACAGTCATCTGAGGTATTGCTGTGGGAAAACGCAGATGGGATCCACAGCGTGGCCCCTCCCTGGCACCTCACATTCACAGAACACTCTGTAGAGCTTGGTGCACAGGGTGGGGAGAACCAAAGACACACAATTTTAAATATTTTGGGTAAATATCCAGAAGTGGTCAGGATGCATCCCAGGCATACTGCCTGTCTGCAGAGCCAGTTGCTGTCACCATAGCCTTGGGGACTGAACGTCCCCCAAGGAGGAGCCCAAGTACTGCAGAGGCCCCAGCCATGGGCCAAGGGCCAGCAGAGGCAGGTCAAAGTGAGCAGGAGGCCTGAGAGGCCTGCTCCCTTCCCAATCCGTGCTCCCTGCTGGCAGGCCTGCGAACAGCCTCAGTCCTGAGGAGGAGGAGCTGGCAGGGGGCTTTTATGATACAAATATTCAGTTGGAAAACACGAAGCCTGTCTGCTTCATTGTGGCATTAACATAGGATGCAATGATCTGTTGTAAAGTTAGGAGGAACCTGATGCACTACCATAAACAAACATTTCTCTTACAAAAATTAGCAGATGGCCGCAAACTTCATTTTAAAGCCAGAGATCCTACATCACCAAGTAGAACTCTGTTCCCTGTAATCACTGAGATGATTCATCTCTAATTCCTTCTGTAGGAAACCCCAAGGGAGCAGTTGCCCACAGTTCCCTGGGGTAGCCCAGAGGCCCATTTTTATCACCTGGCATCACCGTCCAGGAAACTGTCACGGTTCCTGTTTCCCACCTGCTTCCACTGCCAGGCTCCTGAGCTTGACATTAAAGGCCTTGGGCTGCAGCCGCCCAAACACCTCCGCAGTCCCATTCCTTGTGAACATCCCATATGCTTTCAACTGTCCTGCCTTTGCTCATGCTGTTTCCTCTGCTTGGAATGTCTTTCCCTTCCTTCTTTGTGAACTCCTATTTTTCCTTTGAGGTCTATTTCCTTCTAACAGTTCCTCCAATCCTTTTAGATCCTTCTGTCTCTCCTTTGTACCCCCAGCATCCCTTCCTAATACTTCTAGAACCCCCAGAGGAATGCCTCCTGACCTCCTCCATCAACCTATCTCTTCCTTTCAAGGCAGGGCTAAAGCCCCTCCCCAACCAGGATGCTTTGCCAAACTGGCCTTTGTCTCTATAAATCATTTCCTCGCTTTGTTTAGATAGAATTTGTAGGCATTCTTGAATTTTTAGGCATGCCTTTGAGTCTTTTTTTCCCCCTAAAATGTTGTAAAGCTTCTTGAGTCAGAGGTAGCCTGTCTGCTACCTCTGATATCACCTAGCACAGTCTTACACACACAAAAGTTGCCCAGAAAATGCTTGCTGTCTCTGACAACTGGTGTGGCCTGACTGAGCAGCTGCCTAGCCCCCTCTAGCCGTACCCCAGGCTCCAGTTTCTTTCTAAGGGAGTTGGAGGGATAAGCTCTAAGTCCTTCTGGTCTAGCATTTTACATTCTTACAATGGCCTCTGAAAGTTCTTGGCAATGGGAGTCAGGCCTGAATTTTGGACTCTCAGATTCACAGGACTGGGAGAGTTTTCAAAGGCCATTTTGTCCAACTCCTAGATGATTCTGGTATCCCCCTGCAGCACCTGTGACCTCTGCTCATCTAGAGCCTCTACCCCCAGAAACAAGACCTCCAGACTGTCATGGCAGAGGACAGAAACTGGATTAGCCCAGAGATAGGCATGAAGGGGCACATAAGAAACCTAACTGTGAGGGAAAAAATGTGAGATTATTGCATAAAGAATAGAAACTCAAAGCTTCTCAGTGCTGGTACTGCAGCCAGGTCACAGCTGAGCCAACAGAGGTTTCATTGCTGGCCGTCTCCAACAATTCAGTTTAGCTATGACATCTGTGATATGATATAATAATTATGATTCTTAGTTATGTATGTTCGTTCTCATTTTATTTCAAGTAAGGATACTTCCGATAAACCAAGACTTTGTGCACATTTTAAATAATGGGCTTTTCCAAACCTGAGGCTCTAGAAAGTAGTGGCATTTGAAGTAAGCAATGAATGAATAGCCCCTGGGCTGTGACATCCTTACAAGCAGGAACCTACAGAACTTTGGTACATGTCTGTGGAATTGAATAATTCGATCTAAAGCGTGTGAGCGTGTGAGTTCTGTGGTTATCTATGCATGTGGGGTCTGTGCACATCTACCTTGAGCATACACCCCTACACGCTCATCTCCATTCTTCAAGGGCTTCCAGGTAGTGAGCTGGCCTCACATAAATCACCAGGAAGTGACATACTTTGAGTGGAGCATTCATATTAGGCTGTTTGCATTTTATTGAGGGTTGGAAACTATTGCGTAGAGCAGGTTTGAATCTGATGAGAAGCTCACAGAAGACATTGTCCTTTAAAACACATACTTATATCATAATTTAATCCCAAAAAGAAGTTTTTTAAAATTTTCAAACTCATTATGCTTCCTTCTCTTCTGTGATGAGAATACTGTAACTTGGTTTGGCTTCCTCCTGCCTCGGTTCTAGGAAACTCAAGTCTAAATATAATCATCATTCATGTTAATGATAGAGACCTACTGCTTTTCTTATTTTTTTCCCCTCTGGTTTCCCTACAGCCCTGTCAGTCATGCTCCCTTTGTTGAATGCTATATCAAATGCTTTTTTGGCAGCCAGCAGGAATATACATAAGCAATAACTACACAGAACTTGTGAACAACTGGCATCTGTGAGTAAGATCGTGACTGCTTCAACTTTTCATTCAGTTGACATATACCTATTTGTTCATACAGGTATATGACAGGTGTTCATCATCAAACAATGTTGTGATATTTTTTCTTAAATTTTCTTTCTTTTTAAAAATTTCCTGGAAATGTTTCCTTCATAATCATTTCTCATTTCAGAAAAAAAAACTATGCCTTTAATTGAGATTAAATTAATATACCCTATTTTTACTTTACTATGATGTTGACATTTCCAACTTTTACCTTAAAATCAATGTGAAGTCTCCTAGGCCAAGGATTTTGGTAGTCATATTGGAAGGTAGCTTTGGGATTTGGGGCTAAATCTGAACTGTATGACCTGGAGAGGATGCTATGAGTTCAGAGAAGGTTATTCAGAAGAGGAAAATACTCCTAGGGGCCTTATGCCCTCCCAAATTTCATTTCCTTCTGCTAACACGCTTATGTGTGCTCTGGCCCTGGCCTGTGTTGAGTTGTGCTTTGAGGAGGAGAGGACCGAGTCTTAGCTCCTGAAGTCAAGGAGCTCATAGTCCAGGGTGGAGATGAGGCACAAACACAGAAAACAAGAAGATGCGATCAATGTGAAAATCAAGGTTAAAGAAGACTTGGAGAGGTATCTACGGAATTTTCCCTGACATCCCCAGCACGGGTGGAGGGAGTAACAGGCATTTGGGCAGGGCAGGGAGCATGTTTCTACTCACCAAGGTCATTGTTGTTCATCATTGCGTTGGATGCCCGAAGCCGGGGCCCCTGCTGGGTAAAGTGGTAGCCAAATTTAAGAAGCGTTGCGTTTTTTTCCAACATGCTCACGATCTCCATTTCCACTTTGTTGCCCAGGGGCTGGCTCTTTGGTAAAAGAAAAAAACAACACAAAAAACAATAATCACCACTCATTCCACGTGTACGGTGCCTAAACGCCCTCTACCTGCAGAAACTCTTGAGTAGTGGGAGGGGATTTTAGCCAGTGGAAGTTTAGAGAAGTCGAAAGGTCACACGGCCAGGAGCAAATGCCCTGGAATTCAAACTCAGGTCTGCTGGATGCCAAGAATACATCTTTTCACTGCTTTACAAAAATCTTTCTCTGAGCAGGTGCCCAAGCAAGAGCTCCACAACAGAAAAATATTTGGAGGACCTTCAATCTCATCTAGTCCTAAGGAGACTTTAAAAATCCTGCTGTTCAGGCTACACCCCATACTATCTGAATCAGAATCTCTGGGGAGTGGGACTCTTGATGGCTGTGTTTTTAAAATCTTCCCAGGAGATTTCAATATGCAGCCAAGTTTGATAACCAGTAATTTAGTCTCTTCAAACTATTTTTTTTTTTTTTTGAGATGGAGTTTCACTCATGTTACCCAGGCTGGAATGCAATGGCGCGATCTTGGCTCACCGCAACCTCCGCCTCCTGGGTTCAGGCAATTCTCCTGCCTCAGCCTCCTGAGTAGCTGGGACTATAGGCACGCACCACCATGCCCAGCTAATTTTTTGTATTTTTAGTAGAGACGGGGTTTCACCATGTTGACCAGGATGGTCTCGATCTCTTGACCTCATGATCCACCCGCCTCGGCCTCCCAAAGTGCTGGGATTACAGGCTTGAGCCACCGCGCCCGGCCTCTTCAAACTATTAATGAAAATATTGAGGCCCAGAGAAGGAACAAGGGTTTTCCCAAGATCACATGGTAAGTTGAGAATGCCAAAGTTAGCTTTCTGAAGCCCAATTCTGATCACATTATTAATAGTTCCCTGTTCCCAAATCTATAGTGATCATCTGACAAAGATATAAAAAAAAATCAGAAAGAAAAATCGGAAAGATCTAACAATGTTGGGAAGGATATGATGAGGATGTTCATCACAGTCTCAGTTATAATAGTGGGAGGAAAAGGGAAATAAGAATTAATTAAGAGGCCAGGCACAGTGGCTCATGCGTGTTATCCTAGCACTTTGGGAGGCCAACGCAGGCAGATTGCCTGAGCTGAGGAGTTTGAGACCACCCGGGCAACATGGTGAAACCCTGTCTCTATTAAAAATACAAAAAAATTAGCTGGGTGTGGTAGCGGGCACCTGCCATCCCAGCTATCTCAGGAGGCTGAGGCAGAATCGCTTGAACCTGGGAGGCGGAGTTTGCAGTTGAGTCGAGATTGCGCCACTGCCCTCCAGCCTGGTCAACAGAGCAAGACTCTGTCTCCAAAAAATAAAAAATAAAAGAATTAATGAAGAGAAAGTTGCTCAGATAAATGATAGTTCAACCTTACTAAATAGGATGTGGGCAGCTCTAAAATGATGGTGCAAATCTTTGGTCATAAGCATGGAAAGATAGCCATGAACCAATATTGAATGGAGAAAAAAAAAAACCTGGTCACAAAATAGACTATTTGTATGTAAAGTTATCTATATTTTCCATTTACATACATAATACAGAGAAAAAACTTTGAAGGATATTGACAATGCTGGGATTTGGAGAAAAAGTTTTTGTTTTGTCCTTTATATCTTATTGTATTGTTTGGATTTTCTATTACCATATATAATAAAATAATAAAACATAAATATAATCTTAAACAGGTTGTAAAAGACAGAAAGCTAACATCATACTTAACGGTTAGACTGAAAGCTTCCCCCCCCCACCAAGATTAGGAACAAGATAAGGATGTTTGCTTTCACCAACATTTTACTTGGGGGGTTGGGGGGGGGGGTCCAGACAAGATAATTCAGCAAGAAAAATAAATAAAATGCATCCAGACAGAAAAGGACAAAGTAAAACTATCTGTATTTGCAGATGATATAATGTAATATCTAGAAAATTCTAAGGCATACACATTTCTACATAAAATTAGCAAGTTCAGCAGAATTACAGGATATAAGATCAATATGTAAAAATCAGTTGTATTTCTATACACTGGCAATAAGCAATCTGAAAATGAACCTGAGAGAATAATTCAATTTGTAATAACATAAAAAATATTAATTCTTTTTTTTTTTGAGACAGAGTCTTACAAAATACTTATTCCTTTTAGACAGTCTTATTCGTGTTGCCCAGGCTGGAGTGCAGTGATGCGAACTTGGCTCACTGCAACCTCTGCCTCTTGGGTTCAAGTGATTTTCCTGCCTCAGCCTCCCGAGTGGCTGGGATTACAAGTTGTGCCACCATGCCTGGCTAAATTTTTGTATTTTTAGTAGAGATAGGGTTTTGCTATGTTGGCCAGGCTGGTCTCAAACTTCTGACCTCAGGTGATCTGCCTGCCTTGGCCAAAGTTCTGGGATTACAGGTGCAAGCCACTGCACTTGGCCAAAAAGAATAGAATGCTAATTCTAACTTTTTTTTTTTGTTAGATTAATTTCTAACAAAAGTAGTAAAGACATATACTGAAAACTACAAAACAACACTGAAATACATAAAGAAGACCTAAATAAATATAAAAAGATCCCATGGATATTGTCTTCATGGATGAGAAGACTTAATATTGTTAATATTGTAATATTACCAAATTGATCAAAAGAGTCAATGCCATCCTTATCAAAACTCCAGCTTCCTTTTTTTTTTTTTTCCAGAAATAGACAAGCTGATCCTAAAATTCACATGAAAATGAAAGGAACCCAGAATAGCCAAAACAATCTTGAAAAAGAGGGACAAAGTTAGAGAATTCACATTTCCTGATTTCAAAATTACTACAAAGCTACAGTAATTAAGACTTTGTGGTACTGGCATAAGGCAGCTATGTGGATAAATAGAATTGAGAGTCCAGAAATAAATCCATACATCTATAGACAATTGCTTTTCAAAAAGGACATCAAGACAATCCAGTGGGAAAAAAAATTGTCTTCTCAAGAAATGGTGATGAGACAACTGGATATCCACATGCAAAAGAACGAATTTAGACACTAAACACAATATGTAAAAACTCAAAATGGATGAAGGCGTAAATGTGAGTGCTAAAACTATGAAACTATGATGAAAACATAGGTGTAAGTTTTTGTGACCTTGACAATAATTTTTTAGATGTGACACCTAAAGCACAAACAACAAAAGAAAAAATACATGTTACACTTCATCAAAATTTAAAACATTTGTGCTTCAAAAGACACTATCAAAAGAGTGAAAAGACAACACAAAGAATGAGAAAATATTTTGTATTGATATTTTTAAAATATCTGGTGGATAGAGGATTTAATTATGAATATTGAAGACTATTAGAACTCAACAGTAAAATCACAAATAGCAATTCATAAATGAGCAAAGGATTTGAATAGACATTTTCTGTGAAGAAGATAAAAAATGTCAAATAAATGTACAAAAAGGTGCTCATCATCAATTCAGAAAATGCAAATTGAACCACAAGATTCCACTTCACACATGCTAAGATGACGATAATGGAAAAGACAGACAATAACAAGTGTTGATAAGAATGTGGAGAAAGTGGCACCCTCAGACATTGCTGGTGGGAATATAAAATGGTGCTCCTGCTTTGAAACACAGTTTGGCAGTTTCTCAGAAAGTTAAACATAGAGCTACCATATACCAAGCAATTCTGCTTCTAGGTGGAAAATAAATAAAAACGTAAGTCCACACAAAAACTTGTTAATGAATGCTCATAACAAACAGCATTATTCAGAATAGCCAAAAGCAGAAACATCCCAAATGTCCATCAGCTGATGAATGGATACACACAATGTGGTAGATCCTTAACAATGGAGTGATTACTCAGCTAAAAAGGGAATAAAGTTCTGATATGTGCTGTTATGCAATATAAATGACCCTGGAAAACATTATGCTAAATGAAAGAAGCCAGACGCAAAGGCCATATATCGTATGATTCCACTGCTATGAAATGTCTAGATTAGGCAAATTCGTAGTGATGGAAAGGAGGTTAGTGAAAGGGGATACAAGCAGAATGAGAGCTAATGAGCATGGAGTTTCTTTTTTGAGTGATAAAAATTTTCTAGAATTAGATAGTGGTGATGGTTACAGAACCTTGTGAATACATCAAAACCCACTGAATTGTACCTTTTAAAAGGATGAATTGTGTGGTATGTGAAGTAGATGTCAATTAGAAAATACTCCACAGTGGAAAAAAAAATCAATCCAGTTAGAAAATGGGGACAAGATATGAAGAGACATTGACTGAAGAAGATGTGCATATTGGAAATATTCACATGACAAGATGTTCAGCATCATTATCACAGAAATGCAAATCAAAATCACAATGAGATATCACTATATACCTATCAAAATCTCTAGAATAAATATTAGCGACAACAGCAAACATGGGTAAGGGTGTAGAGAAACTGGTTCACTCATAAATTACTGGTGGGTCTAGAAAATGCCACAGTCATTGTGCACAAGAGCTGAGCAGTTTCTTAAAATGCAGTTTGTACTCCTGGGTATTTATCCCAGAGAAATAAAAACATATGTTTACATAAAATCTGTACAGGAATGTTTATAGCAGCTTTATAGGTAACAGACAAACCTGGAAACAACCCAGACATCCTTCAACAGGTGAATGGTCAAACAAACCATGGTACCTCCACACCATGGACTACTACTCACCAGTGAAAAAGGGCAAACTGTTGGTACATGCAACAATTTGGATGAATCTCCATAGAATTATGCCAAGTGGAAAAAAAGCCAGTCCAAAATGGCTACATAGTATATGATTTCACTTATATAACATTATACATATATAATTCTTGAAGTGACAAAATATTAAAATGGAAAACAGGTTAGTGGTTGCCTAGGGTTAAGGAGGCAGGAGGAAGAGACAAGTGAGCTTGGAAAGGGAACACGAGAGATCCTTGTGATGGAAATATTTTGTATCTTGACTGTATCAATGTTACTATACTTGCTGTGACACAAA